TTGCTGAAAAACATGGCTTTCAATTTGTTAATGTGAATAGGTATTAATGTAAGTACTCTTTAAGGGTCTCATTGTATTAAGTCGCTACTTCCGGTCACGTGACCACACAAAAGTGTCGCCATCAACTACTTACTAGTAATAGTTGACACTACAGCTACCCCCACTCTGTATATTGTCGGTCAACATTATGCTTGGTCGTTGTGTAGCTCTTTGAAAGTATACCGATTCGTAATGAAGATTTTCACATATATTTCATACAATAGGTGAGATAAAAACAGGAAACGCAAGGTTCCATGCACAATTTGCAATTATGCTTTCCTTATGGATAATAACTTGCTGTATTCTAGACAGTCTGGGTTTCGTAGGATGTACAGCACCGAGACTGCTCTAATCAAGTTAGTTGACGAGCTTTTGTTCGGCCTAGATAATAATCATGTATGCGGCATGGTCCTGGTTGATTATCGAAAGGCTTTCGACATGGTGGACCATAAGCTATTGTTGCGCAAGTTGGAACTGTACGGTATAGCCAACCGGGAGCTTGCCTGGTGTCACTCTTGTTTGTTGGATAGGAAGCAAGTGGTCCGTGTAAATGGGAGTGAGTCAAGCGAAGCTTTGATGTTGCATGGAGTCCCTCAGGGCAGTATTTTAGGTCCTTTATTCTTCATTTTGTTTATCAACGATCTGCCCTTGTATACAAGTGCTCAGTTGGACCTTTACGCAGACGATACGACTGTCACTGCTTTTGCGGATGTGAAAAACTTAGCCACCTTAAGTTCATCACTAAGTAAGTCTGTCTCTGAAATTCAATTATGGGCTTCAGCGAATAAGCTCCCATTAAATGAAGACAAGACTAAAGTACTCACGATCACTGGGAAAAGATGTGTGGCTAACATAAATGGAAGTGACATAGATGTTTTCGTAAACGGAAAACAGCTCAGTAATGTGGATTGTGCTACCTTATTAGGCGTAGAAATTGACAGCAAATTGTCATTTGATGAACATATTGAGAAAGTATGTAAAAAGTTGGCCTCTAGAATCGCAATACTGCATAAGATTCGAGCCTGTCTACCTCTTAAACAGCGACTTCAGTTTTATAATAGCATTATTCGCCCTGTTATGTCTTACGCTAACGTTGTTTGGGCAAATTGTGATAAAGAGTCGGTTTATAGGGTCTTAAGATTGCAAAAACGTGCGGCACGCGTTATTTCTTATGCCGATCGCATGACACCATCAGTTGCTTTGTTTAACAAGCTAGGTTGGATTCCGTTTTATGAGCAACATAAGATAGATAAATGCATAATAATGTATAAGCGAATTAATGGGTATTTGCCGAATTATCTAAATGAACACTTAATTTTGAATAATAAGCGGCACTCCCGCAACACTAGATATTCAAGCATTAATGCTGTTTGTCCTAAATATAGAAGAGAAACAGAGGGAGGACGCTCTTTCGCTGTTTCGGCAACAAGACTGTGGAATAGTACACCAATTGAAATTAGGAAACTAGATTCTGTAGCATGTTTTAAAAAGAACATGTTTGCCAAGATTTTTAAGGAACAACAATGTTTGCATCATTTTATCATTTAATAATTTTTTATTTTTATAAAATTCGAATCCTGTTTTATTTTAATTGTTTATATATTTTAGCTTACTATATTTATTAGATTGTAAATAGTTGTGTATTTTATGAGGGCTACAAGTTTATTAGCCTTTGGCTATTAAGTGCTACCCTCTTTAAATAAAGGCTTTATTATTATTATTATTATATAATTTCAGTTCGATTTACAAAGCTTTGCTCAAAACATTCTCAGTTTCGAGAATAGTTTATTCTATACCAGTATAAGAAAAGATTTAATTAGAAGTTGAATTTTTCGCTATTTCTCTTTCACTTTTTACATACAGTTCATTTTATTTTCCGGAAAGTAAACCTTAGAAATTAAAAGGGTGTTTGATCAATTTACGTTCGCGCATTCTAGTCTTACTTTAAACCAAGAGAGGATAAAGGGGACAGAGAAGGCATCCTCCGTACACACCCTATTCCATAGGTAATTCGTCTCGAGTTATTTTTAAGACCACAGATCCCAAGGGGAATGGGACAACAGCCAATCACATAGCGCGAATGTGTTCCGCGTGAATGACCCAGGCAGAAAAAAATGGCAGAAGATGCGGAAAGCAGAATTGCTATTCGTTTTGTCGACGAAAACGAGAGATTTCTGCTAAAACTTTGTCAGCGAAACGAAAATTAAAAAAGAATCGCCCTTCCTCTCCTGCATAGAGCTAACAGAGCAGCAGGGAAATCCTTAACACACTGAATATTCTCTCTGGATCATTTATAATTTACAGTTTGAAGAGAGCAATTACTGGTTTGATATTTATTCTTTCATTAGCCTTTTATCATTCAACAAAAATAACACTTGGCGTCCTATAATAATAATGACAATTTAATAGCTCCCAGAGCGCTATTTACATTCACTGATCAACAGCGCTTAACAACTTAAAACTAATTACATGTGCTACTTGCTTTATTGTACAAACGACCGGTTTCAATAGACCGGCGAAATTTCTCATTTTGTTAAAGCACTGAGGTTACTATAACTTCGAGTTAAACTGATTTCACGGGTTGTCAAAGAGTTGAGCGATTCCCTTTTCCCAGGTGAGCGCCGACTCATTTCGCTTCAATATTCAGAAATGCTCTCGATCTCTGTACGCTTTCATTGCCCTTCGCCCGACATGTTTTGCACGGCGTTTAGTCATACGAAACCTCCACGAAACATCCACGCAGCGCGCGAGGTACCGATTCTAAAAATAACTCGAGACGAATTACCTATGGAATAGGGTGTATATGGGGGATGCCTTCTCTGTCTCCTTTATCCTCTCTTGTTTAAACTTTATAGCGGAAGGACATCTGTGAGCAGGGAACAAGTCAGCACAGAATTTGATTGTCGGCGAATTTCTGTAATCGTCCATAGTTCTGCTAGTGATAAGCTAGCCGTTGATTCACTCGTCTTGCTTGTTTGGGGCTGAGTCGTATTCCGGTCAAAGAGAGAGAAAGAGTGTCTTTGTGAACTCGTGTCTGGCAAACTCTCCAAGTGTTTATATATACACAGTTATACGAACCTTATAACTACATCTGCGCTTAACGAGTGTCTTTTGGTTCATAACTTTCAAAGAGTATCGAAGTATAATAATATATTATTATTATTCATTCAAAATATTTCCCCGATTCTGATTGGCTAAAAACACAAGTTTAATTCACCATAACCAGTTACTGATGACCAAATTTGTGAGAATTTTGACTTTAACGAGGAAATGACGTCAAAAATGCGGCGTTTTCGCAGGTTAAGGCACCGTTAACCGAGAAGACCTGGGGACGAGGTTGAGTTGTTTTGGTTGTGAACTTGAAAAAATGGCGGACATTTCACTCTCTGTAGATCTTCTTCGAGGTGAATGGGCAGCCCTCCCCAAAACAAGCGAGTTATATTCTAAAACAGGTCTAATCTTAGTGATGTAAGTTGTAAGACCAAAGTCCCTGGGGAGAGGGGCTGTTCTACAGACCCTAAGATAGTGGATCCGTTTACACGCTTTGCTGACTATACTTGAGACATGTGTATTCCACTTCAGAAACCCTGAAACTCTGTCATTTATGACAAAATCCAAAAGTGCGCATGTCTTTGTGGTAGTTGTTTCTTGGAATACAGGCGCGAGAGAGACACTATGCCTAATTCGCAGGCTTCATGCACTTTGGAAAGGAATCAACAGCCACGCGGGCTAATAGAAATCCGGATTGACTTCAAACGAAAGAAACCGTCCCTGGTAAAGGGAAAAGAAGATACCAAATTAGAATCTTTTGCAGCGTAGGATGGTTCCTGTAACACAGCTGCCAATCACCAGCTGCCGAGTCTTTATTGGTAACTCTTATCAGAATGGTAGCCCGGGAAAATAGCCGATATTTCGCGACGCCATGGCTTGTTTCCCCACCAAATCACATCTGACGATCGAACACGAGAAATTCCATACTGATGACGTGTCACTACTCAGATCTGAGTAGTGCTTCTGATTGGTCGTTCTGTGAGGGAAATTTGCTGCAACCAATCAGAAGCACTAACCAGGTCTGAGTAATAACACGTCATTAGTATGGAATTTCTGCAGGCGTTCCTCGGACGTTATTTCGAGGGGACTTGGTGGCTTCGCGAAATGTTGGCTGTTTTCTCGGGTTATCAAAGTGGACGCAATGGGCTACATCTTTGAGACCCTGGAAAAGTCGGCAGAAGTTTGAAGGAAAGGGAGTGCACTCATAGCGTTGTCAAACTTCCGCTCGACTTCTCTAGCTTTCGAGCGCCTACCACGCAGGAATGATGAGAGAATACCTAACTCGATTGTTGTGTCCCTAATGAAAGGACAGTAGGGCAGTAGGAAAGTTATGGACAGTCCCTAGGGCTTCTTGCCCGAGAAAGTTACCTACATTCAATAAATGTGATGGGTAATGAAGTTCCTTCTGGTGTCGTTCCAACTGATCTATTACTTGTGGCAATGGAGTTTCTGCTAGCAGGCAGCTCATAAACCTATCCAAATAACCTGTCAATAACCAAGTAACCTGTCTCAAATTATAGCCTGTATTGCAGGCGTTTTCTTTGGGTGCGCGAACGTCTGCTTCCATATATAACCGCCATGTTGAATTTCAAAGGAGTCGAGAAGTTGGAGCAGGGAAGAGGCGGAGGTAAGAAGAGAAAACTTCTCCCCTCCCCATCCCTCGCGTCCTTCTCTTGCCCCACCATCTACTCCGAGGGAAACCCCAAGTGTTACTGTTACTATTCTCTCCAAGTTTCCTCAGTTGTCCACGGTAATATGGACATAAATAAAAATATAGGCCTGCATTACAAGCACGTAACACCGTAGCACTCCAGAAGCCCAGTACCTAAAACATCCGATCTAGAACTCGGAGGGTCGTGCGTCCGAATCTCATGTGGAGATCGGCAATTTTTCCGAGGGAGCTTTCTATGTTACATTTCTGTTTCTTCTATAGTATCACATTTTGAACACGTAACGCAACTAGAACTTATACGCATACATGATGTATAATCATCGCCATAAGATGAGAACTGTAAACGTTGAAATTTTCACATAATACTTTGCTTTATTATTATTTTTTTTTGTTACACAAACTCTTAGCTCATAAATTGCTTAATTTCGCTATTTACCGTACTGTTAAGTTTAATCAGGGGGCCATTTAAAAAAGGGAATCTCTGTTGACGAGTTAATAAAATGTTCAGGTTAATTAGAAACCGCCGGCCCTGCGTAGCATTCTTCATTAGCAGTTACTCCAGATGTGGAGGCATTTTGAACACGTAACGCAACTAGAACTCATACGCATACATCATGTATAATCATCGCTATAAGATCAGAACAGTAAACGTTGAAATTTTCACATAATACTTTGCATTAATTTTTTTTCTGTTACACAAACTCTTAGCTCATAAATTGCTTAATTTCGCTATTTACCGTACGGTTAAGTTTAATAAGGGGGCCATTTTAAAAAGGGAATCTCCGTTGACGAGTTAATAAAATGTTGAGGTTAATTAGAAACCGCGGGTCCTACGTAGCGTTCTTCATTAGTATTTACTCCAGATTTGGAGGCACGTTATAGTATGGATGGTCTTCATTATGCTTGTTCACATCCAAATATGGTGCATCCTTTTGCATGATGATCTCCAGTTTTTCTATCATCTGGTAGAAACTGGGTCGAGCTCTTGGGTCTTCCTTCCAGCACTCTGTCATCAACTCATATCTGTCGAAGACAATTAAAAACAAACCGATTTATAATTCTCTCCAATTAGCTCCTCAGCGGTCATGTTTTTGTTTAGGAAATACAACAACCTTGCCTAGTCCCTGTACAGTGTCTTTCCAGTCCTGTCTCGGTCAATGCATTTCGGCGACGTATCCGAGAAAAAATCTTTCGGACCAATTGACCCGAAACGCATCGGCCTGGCGCAATAAGGCCTAGAGACGTACTGCAAAAAACAACCCATGCCAGTCAGCGGTAATCGAAGGGAAATTGAGAGTTAAAAACTGTGGCTGGATGAGGAATGGTCAGAGATGGGAACTTTACAAACTTTCAGCACAGAATCAACCACATTTGAGTTGTTTAAGACATTTCAGAGGTCTCTTAGAGTATATGCAGCTGAAGAAAACTAAACTGGTGTTGTATTCAAACACTTTAAAAGTCTGTCATAGAACTAATCCTGAGATCCTGATTTGTCAACTCACTTCTTAGTTTTTGGGTCATTATCCTTAAAAATGGATATATGGTACATTTAAGCGTTTTTGGACAACCTTGTTTGGCACCACAGCAGCAGTTAGAGAAAAAAATGATCAGGCGCACGCGCAAATGGAGGCTTGAAGCGGGAAAAGGCTAATAGGCCCATCACCACTAACTGTACGTGAAAAAAAGAGGAGTCTGTGTTGTCCCACAAGAATGCCACTGAAGGAGGTTGTTTTTCTTCTGAAAAGAACGCGGGCAATTCCTTTCTCGCAAGATTTACTTCATTTTGTTCGCTTGCGGAGCCAGCCGTATACATAATCAGTGACCATCAGTGGCCGGACTCTACAGCCTCGTTCACATGGTCCGAGTTTCCTTTTCATGCCCCGGAGCGAGTAGGGAGAGTAGGAGATCTTGACCCTGGGAACCAACTGTTCGTATTCAAAGGGCAAAGTCGTACTAAGCTCTTTTTAAAGTAAAATTTTGTTATAATTCTGCATGATAACATATCCTCAAATCACTGGAGCGATCAACTTACACTTCATCAGAGCTCATGTCAGGTTTTTCCATTCGGTATCCAGAGCTGAGCAGGCGATACAGCTCTGTGTTGGTCAGCGTAGGGTATGGTACGCCTCCTGGATCCAACAGAAGAAGAAAATCAGTTATTCAGAAAAAGCTGGGCAGTAAGTTTGACAATCATTTTCACGTTATTTGTTCAGGTCGTAGACTGCAAAGTCCCTCAGGAAAGGCCATTTCCTAGTTACAAAAACCCTCACTTTCAAAACGAGTGCAAAACCTTTCTTGTGATAATGAGTTACCTTTGCATGAAAGTAAAAAAACTCATTTTCATATCAGTGGCTTCACACTTAGCCTCGCTTTGAAACAGTGGGTTGGGGAAACCCTAGACTACGAGTAGTCCCCCATTTTTCCTAATCACCCCACGCGAGAAAAGGCTTCATTTTTCTCTCTCCCCGCCGCGTGTCGCCTTTTCTCGCGTGGAGTGATTTTCACGAGCGCTCGCGTTTCACTCGCTCTACTATCCCTGAGGAAAAATGGGGGACTACTCGTAGTCTAGGGCAACCTGGACACGGCCTATTGTCTTTCGTGCGAGCATGTTACGTGTGAGGGAATTAAGAGGCAAACGCGCGAGAGCTGGAAAAGACGGAATCTGGGAATGAACAACTGGGGCCTGGACCAAAAAAATTATATGAGTCAGTGTTTTTTATTAGAAACGAGGAAAAGTAAGCAAGCATTTGTAATCAGGAAAGTAAATAAATCTCTAAGTATGCATACCCAGTGTGGCCATTTCCCACAGAAGTACGCCGTAGGACCAGCTAGGAAAGAAACAACAAAATGGTTACAGAGCGGTATAGTCAGACGGTCAAGGCTAAGAAGATTTTGAGGAAGGATATTCACGCTTTGCCTTTTCAAGGGTTAGTTTTACAGAGGCCAGCAAAATCCTACTAATATAAATCAGTTGGCAAAATTTGAACCCAAACTTTGCCATAACGAGATGGCGTTCGAGAACTTACAGAGATATTCCGCGAAAAAATTACGTATACGTCGTCGGGGATAAAAAAGTCAGTTCGGAAAAGACTATTAAAAGTAATTTAATCCAGTACGAGACTCATACGATGAGATATATAGTCTAGCGTTAAAGTGAAGGTCTTATTCTACTCACACATCGCTCTTGATGGTAAAGTTGCCTCGATAAAGCGATTCTGGAGCCATCCATTTGACGGGAAGTTTCTTGGACTTTTCTGAGCCCTTCACATCTTCATAGATTTGTCGCATCAACCCAAAGTCAGACACTTTCACCCGATTGTCATGGCCAACAAGGACGTTACGAGCTGCAAGGTCTCTATGAACAAGATTTTTTTCGGCAAGATGATTCTAGTTGTAAAGGTAGAGAAAGGGAAATCAAATTTTAGCATCACATAATAACAGATAACTAATTTAAGGAAGAGTTTATGCCCATGATCAACAGCCAGTTAGCCGTCAGTTCAGACACCAACACTTAAATATACAAGCCAAAATTCTTATAAAGTATTCTTCCAAAATCCCTTTGTACCCGGATCAAAGAACACCAATCCCGTGAAACTTTTGTCGTTTTCGAACACTGCCGAGCAACGGCGGTCACCACATCAACCCCTACAATGCTAAAGTTCTATCTGACAAAAATAGCACCATCAAGGTTTTTACCGAGTCAAGGAGGCCATTACAATCGAAGAAAGAAAACCCTCCGTGAATGAGGACGAGGGACTGGACCTCCCGGCCATGTACTATCCTCTCTTGGGGGAACATGACAACCTATTTGGTTCATAACCTGGCATTTTTGCATTGCTAATAAAGTTCGAGCGATTCGATCGAAATATTCAGTTTTGTCTTTAACTTGTTGTTCCTGACTTTTGAAATTTTGTAGAATAAATAATTAAAGTGACTTTAGTTGAGCCATAGTTATTAAAGTGGAATGGTAATGAAACCCGTCTCGACTAACTATGGTCAGCGAATTAAAATTCGTTAATAACTTTTAATACGAAAAGTCTGGCGTCCAAGCTGCATTTTTCCTATAACGTTTTGTATGACGATGGTTGAATTGCTTTTCAGTCCTCTTAAGTTGTTGTTCATCGTACAATCGCCGCCGTTTCTCGGTTCCCCTGGTATTTTCAGTGTTTCAAAAGTCACGCCCAGGCCTAGGTACCTGAGTTTCGATCGAGGTTTTCGAAGTCGGCTTCATGTCACGAGAGTACATCAAGGGAATATCTTTAAATGAATAAAAATGTGGGAAGATCGAGGGTAGGCTACTCTGGAAGAAAACCGAGAGCTCAAGGAACCGAAATGGGCGTAAAACAGCGTGTTGGCAGATCGTGTGGTTGCTTTCAAGATACCAAAACTGCAGAAAAGCTCATTTCGTAAAACTCGTCTTTTGCTGATTTTTTCACCTGATTTCATTTTATGGCATTTAGCCAGATTTGGCTGTTTTGCGCTCAAGAGTGGTTTTATCAGAAAACTTGGTACTTTTCTTGAGGGCAGGTAAATTCCTGTAGGGAAATTCTACTTTCTCAATATATATATGCCCCATACAGTTCGCCTTTGAAATCAGCGTCCATTTTTAAAGGCTAACTCTCTAGTCAAATATGATAACATGTAAACAAATACAGTAGCTACCATTCCCCTGGCTATTTGCCATGCAAATTTAAAGAGCTGTCGAGTAGAAAAGCTTTCCTCCTCGTCTTGTGGATCTTCCTCGAGACTTTCACCCAAAGGCAGCTTCGATTCTGTGTGCTGACTTTCCACGGGTGGGTTGTTTGACATGTTCAACTGTTCTTTAGTGAACTCTTCCAATCCCTTATCCTAAATGCACAAATAGTGCAAAACATGTCAAGAAGGGTCTAGAATGTATAGATCAGGAAAGCGCGCGCGTGCGGTTGAATGAAAGGTCTGAAAGGACGCCCCTCAGCCGTGTGAGGCTCGCGCGCTTCGCGCGAAAATCTTACTCCTCGAGTTAGTGCCTTTGACGACTGTTTTGTTGTCTCAGATGGGTCAAATGGACATGGAAATTGAGAAAAATGTTTATTATAAACATCAGCAGATTATTTTGTAGTTAACAACACAACGGCTGAAAAACTAACGGCGTGAAAATTATTGGAAACTAGTATACTTGTTTATTACTATAATAGGCCACTTGCACTAAGAGGTCACGTGACCAATGCTTCCTTTAAACAATGAGTTGGAATCTTGCTGATGCCAAAAATTGTTAGAGCACACAAAAATTATCTTACACCCGAAATTTGAGAGGAAACGCATTTAAGGGAGATATTTTGTGGCACTTTGATTTTTCAGCAAAGTAGTATGATTTGTATTGGCCGCCATGTTGGAGGGCATGCTCTTGCCCTCCAACATGGCGGCCAAAACTACTTCTTGCTTATATCTTGTTCAAAGTTTCATAGTTACGCTCAAATGTGCTGTAAACGTTATCACATCATCTTTTCAACATTTTCCTTGAAGTTTAAGTGCAAAATTTGTGTTCAGAGAGAGATAATTCATAATTTTAAAAATCACATTTTGGTCACGTGGCCATTTATGAACTTATTCATTTTAAGAAAATGGTGCGGGTTTGAAAAACCAAATCACCACTATTTTGTTTAAGATATGACCCACTAATCGTTTTTCGAAGGCAAAATCATATTTAACTTTCATTTTCATAAAAACGGTGTCACATGCCTCTTAGTGCAAATGGCCTATTAATGGAATGTTAAGTATTAGTATATACACACTCAGTGATCTTGGTGATTTAAGCAATCTGATTGGTTCGCTATCTCGGACTATTCAACAATGTTCACCTCCTAGCGAGTGGATAATGTGTGAGCTCGGTGTTTTTCCCATTTTTTTAGAGAACGATCTTTTAAAAGTCGACAAAATCCTAGGGCTGACTTTTTTTAAGGCAAGAAAAGACTTGGAAAGATTTAATACGGCGTTTTTCAATTTACTGTAGCTGAGTTTTGTGCTCGACGGATTGTTTACAACTCCCTTGTATTCGCGTACAAGAAGCCGTTTCGTGAACTCAGCGTTTTCTAACAAGAAAATTTTGGCTCAAAAATCGAAGTCTATTTATGACAAACAAATTTAAAAGGAAATGTTTGCAGAAATTCTACGTTTCAAGTAAACAGGAAAAAGAATGATACAGGAAGACGACGTCTTACCCCGAGCAACCGAGCCGCCATTTTTGTCAGCACTTCATGCGAAGAACGACACAACAAGCCCTTTTGGCTATATACTTGGCGAGTCAACACAAAACAACATAGCTGTACTTTTCTTATCAGGTAAAGAAACAATTCAAACTTTTAGCGGTTCCATTTAAGCCATTACGCTGTTGTTTGAGAAATGATAAACTTGTGAATTCCCATGTTTGAAAATTCTGCAAAGATCTATTTTTAAACTTACGCGTGATTTGATCTGTCAATCAAATCGTACTTTTTAATGGTTTTCTCTCTGATTTTGTTGAGATCACTTCGTGTGTATATACTAAAACAATTATTCTTTTCAATCTCAGTCAATAGTGGCGTTGGGAATATTTACCTTGCCGCTTTCGCGGCTCGGTAAATATTTACCAACTATTCACCTCAAATTCAAAGAATAATTGTTACAACATGTAAATGGGCGGCTGTGGCCTTTTGACAGTTGCATATGCGGTGGCTCTTTTTGCTTTAAGGTGACATCGTCGGGGGAGAATATACAGAGACTACAGAAGTGCTTTGTGAAGAAGGAATATATGAACAAAATGGCAGTGTGATGTTTGTTTATTTGTTTGTTTGTTTTTTCTACGCGCATTTTAAATAAGCAACGTCTTAAAAACGGTAAGATGGGACTAAATGTTGTGTAATCTCGCATATTTTAAAGGATAAAATGAAATGAATTTAAAAAAGTTTACATCAAAGAGATTCTCAGAGGTCATCTGGGCTTCCTCTCTAATGACGTTACCGTCATCATGCAATAATGGAGTCATTTCCATGTTCATTTGTGTCTGCTCTTGCTCCACCTGTTGCTTAGCATTCTTGCTTTCCTGTGTGAAGTCAAAATCCGTAAACAAATTAAAAAGTAGCCTGAGAAAACAGCTGTAATTCTGCGATGCCACCACTGGTTCCAGTGACAGTAAAAGAGGTGTAGCTCTCAAAAGACCAAGCTATTTAAAAAATATATATATATACCTATTATTACCTTTTCCTTCGCCATTTCCTGAACAAATGAAAAGATGTTTTGATCGGTGAAAAACGACACCTCGTCATCAGTGAGATCTTCGGCCAAACTTTCCCTTGAGGCTAACAGGGCGGGGGCGTGCTGATTTTCCATCGGTGCGGAAGGGACTGTTTGCTGTTCGTCGCTGTTAGTTTTGAATACCTTATCCTGCAGGGGAAGAGTTCGCTGCATGTAAGGAAATGGGGATTCCAGAATTCGGAATCCGAGGAATTTTTAGCGTATGGACCCCGAAATCTTGGAAAATTGTGCTTGAGAAATCCGAAATCCTGGGCTTTGGAATCCGGAATCGCAATTATGATTCAAGCTAGGAATTCCGAACAGATGAAAAGTTTTTAGGGGACAAAAATATGCCTATATCTACCGTTTAAATACTAAAATATGATGCATGTTTAAGTGATTTTGAACTATATTCTTGTTGGGTACCCCTGTTGAATTAAACATTGAGAGAAGTTTTACTCTTTCAAGGAAATGACAGCAAAATTGAGGTTAGTTTATAAAATGGTCAAGCCGTTCGTTCTTACATTCTCACACAACATCTTGTCCATCTTGTCCTCATTGTCATCTTGTAATAACGGAGTGAATTCCGTACTCACCTGCTTCTCCTCTTCTTTATCTTGTACCTCAAAGAGAAAAAACGATATGATACGATAACTTTGTTACATGCTTGGGAACTAAACTAGATAAGCTCTTTAACTGCTTTGATGCCAGGCCTTCTAAGGTCACTTTAATTTCTGTTAGTAACGAGATCAGTTTCAGGTCGAAATTTATGCAATTGTGTCAACCTATTCAGACGAATTCGCTCTCCCTGATTTAAGAATATAATTACCTTAACAGAGCTAAGTTTTGTAAAGTCCAATTTTTTAATAATGAACAGATACATCAGAACAAGATAATGTACCCCGGCCAATCCATTTCCTCGAAAATGTTATGTCATAAGCTGTGACTATTATACTCTTAGATTATGTACATGATGGTACTGTAGGATACGAATAGATGCTCGCGAAAATGGACTTAATATGGCACTGTCAACATAATAAGCCCCAATGGTCTGTCTAGGCCACTCATTGACTCGACACTCTACAGGCTAAGCCATGCTTATCGCATACAAAAACCGTTTTATTGTCCTCAAACCGTTTTATTGGACATCAAAGCATGTGATTTAGTTACACATAAGCTTAAAACTTCTGATTGCAATTTTCAGACCATTTGAACATAGCGTTTATTTTACCCCTACCTGATTTTTGGCGTCTCCGTCATCTTTCAAACCCACTTTGTCGTCGTAGATTTTCTTGGAAGTTTGGCGTTTGTAGATCTACAAGATTCAGCAACATCAAAAAGTGAAAACAACTCGCCTCTAATGCTAAGTATAGCGTCATATTTTGTTCACGCAGCAAAACGTACTTGTTATTAACAAATGGGTCCAAGCTAAAGTTTCTAGCTGCATCATAGCGTTCTGAAATGAGAACTCAGAGCTAAAAATTGAGGAGGACAAGTGTGGTGCGAACCCAGGATCGGGAGAATAGGAGGCAGGCGGGGTACGGAAAGCGGAAGAGGAAAGGGCGGCAGGCGGGTGCTGTAATAGGGTCAGAAGAGGGAGAAATAAGGGGGAAATAACGCGAAAATACTTAATATTTCGCAATCGAAAAAAAGGGGAAAACCGGGAATGTTCCTTCTCGTTTTTAACGAGGCGAGTCCTTTTCCTTTTTTTCAAAGTTCAAAGAACATTGTAGAAATTTCTCATTTTCTCACCCTGTTCCTTCTGCAGCGTAACCATGTCAGCAGATCCCCAAAAGGAACATACTCTATCACCAGGAACTTTTCATCCTGAAGCGTGCAGCAAAATAAACTTGTGAATTCCCATGTTTGAAAATTCTGCAAAGATCTATTTTTAAACTTACGCGTGATTTGATCTGTCAATCAAATCGTACTTTTTAATGGTTTTCTCTCTGATTTTGTTGAGATCACTTCGTGTGTATATACTAAAACAATTATTCTTTTCAATCTCAGTCAATAGTGGCGTTGGGAATATTTACCTTGCCGCTTTCGCGGCTCGGTAAATATTTACCAACTATTCACCTCAAATTCAAAGAATAATTGTTACAACATGTAAATGGGCGGCTGTGGCCTTTTGACAGTTGCATATGCGGTGGCTCTTTTTGCTTTAAGGTGACATCGTCGGGGGAGAATATACAGAGACTACAGAAGTGCTTTGTGAAGAAGGAATATATGAACAAAATGGCAGTGTGATGTTTGTTTATTTGTTTGTTTGTTTTTTCTACGCGCATTTTAAATAAGCAACGTCTTAAAAACGGTAAGATGGGACTAAATGTTGTGTAATCTCGCATATTTTAAAGGATAAAATGAAATGAATTTAAAAAAGTTTACATCAAAGAGATTCTCAGAGGTCATCTGGGCTTCCTCTCTAATGACGTTACCGTCATCATGCAATAATGGAGTCATTTCCATGTTCATTTGTGTCTGCTCTTGCTCCACCTGTTGCTTAGCATTCTTGCTTTCCTGTGTGAAGTCAAAATCCGTAAAGAAATTAAAAAGTAGCCTGAGAAAACAGCTCTAATTCTGCGATGCCACCACTGGTTCCAGTGACAGTAAAAGAGGTGTAGCTCTCAAAAGACCAAGCTATTTAAAAAATATATATATATACCTATTATTACCTTTTCCTTCGCCATTTCCTGAACAAATGAAAAGATGTTTTGATCGGTGGAAAACGACACCTCGTCATCAGTGAGATCTTCGGCCAAACTTTCCCTTGAGGCTAACAGGGCGGGGGCGTGCTGATTTTCCATCGGTGCGGAAGGGACTGTTTGCTGTTCGTCGCTGTTAGTTTTGAATACCTTATCCTGCAGGGGAAGAGTTCGCTGCATGTAAGGAAATGGGGATTCCAGAATTCGGAATCCGAGGAATTTTTAGCGTATGGACCCCGAAATCTTGGAAAATTGTGCTTGAGAAATCCGAAATCCTGGGCTTTGGAATCCGGAATCGCAATTATGATTCAAGCTAGGAATTCCGAACAGATGAAAAGTTTTTAGGGGACAAAAATATGCCTATATCTACCGTTTAAATACTAAAATATGATGCATGTTTAAGTGATTTTGAACTATATTCTTGTTGGGTGCCCCTGTTGAATTAAACATTGAGAGAAGTTTTACTCTTTCAAGGAAATGACAGCAAAATTGAGGTTAGTTTATAAAATGGTCAAGCCGTTCGTTCTTACATTCTCACACAACATCTTGTCCATCTTGTCCTCATTGTCATCTTGTAATAACGGAGTGAATTCCGTACTCACCTGCTTCTCCTCTTCTTTATCTTGTACCTCAAAGAGAAAAAACGATATGATACGATAACTTTGTTACATGCTTGGGAACTAAACTAGATAAGCTCTTTAACTGCTTTGATGCCAGGCCTTCTAAGGTCACTTTAATTTCTGTTAGTAACGAGATCAGTTTCAGGTCGAAATTTATGCAATTGTGTCAACCTATTCAGACGAATTCGCTCTCCCTGATTTAAGAATATAATTACCTTAACAGAGCTAAGTTTTGTAAAGTCCAATTTTTTAATAATGAACAGATACATCAGAACAAGATAATGTACCCCGGCCAATCCATTTCCTCGAAAATGTTATGTCATAAGCTGTGACTATTATACTCTTAGATTATGTACATGATGGTACTGTAGGATACGAATAGATGCTCGCGAAAATGGACTTAATATGGCACTGTCAACATAATAAGCCCCAATGGTCTGTCTAGGCCACTCATTGACTCGACACTCTACAGGCTAAGCCATGCTTATCGCATACAAAAACCGTTTTATTGTCCTCAAACCGTTTTATTGGACATCAAAGCATGTGATTTAGTTACACATAAGCTTAAAACTTCTGATTGCAATTTTCAGACCATTTGAACATAGCGTTTATTTTACCCCTACCTGATTTTTGGCGTCTCCGTCATCTTTCAAACCCACTTTGTCGTCGTAGATTTTCTTGGAAGTTTGGCGTTTGTAGATCTACAAGATTCAGCAACATCAAAAAGTGAAAACAACTCGCCTCTAATGCTAAGTATAGCGTCATATTTTGTTCACGCAGCAAAACGTACTTGTTATTAACAAATGGGTCCAAGCTAAAGTTTCTAGCTGCATCATAGCGTTCTGAAATGAGAACTCAGAGCTAAAAATTGAGGAGGACAAGTGTGGTGCGAACCCAGGATCGGGAGAATAGGAGGCAGGCGGGGTACGGAAAGCGGAAGAGGAAAGGGCGGCAGGCGGGTGCTGTAATAGGGTCAGAAGAGGGAGAAATAAGGGGGAAATAACGCGAAAATACTTAATATTTCGCAATCGAAAAAAAGGGGAAAACCGGGAATGTTCCTTCTCGTTTTTAACGAGGCGAGTCCTTTTCCTTTTTTTCAAAGTTCAAAGAACATTGTAGAAATTTCTCATTTTCTCACCCTGTTCCTTCTGCAGCGTAACCATGTCAGCAGATCCCCAAAAGGAACATACTCTATCACCAGGAACTTTTCATCCTGAAGCGTGCAGCAACCAACCAAGGAAACAACGTTCGGATGTGAACCCAACTGCTTCATCTGCTCGATCTCAAACTGGAATTCTGCTTTCTGTGCTGCGCTAGGATTATCTAAACACATCAAAACGTATTGGCACGGTACTTTTTCTGTTAAATTCGACTTCCACTTTAGAAACGGGGAGGAGACTGGGCCGAGTTAGCTTTTGCAAAGGCTTCGCGCACGCGCAGGTCAGCTATTGGCCATTTTTTCCCTTGTTCCCAATAACAGTCCCTGCAGTCTTTGCGCAAGTTAACTCGGCCCAGTTTCCTTCTCGTTTGTAAAGTGGCGAACCCAACCATATGGATCATGTCATGCACAACGTGAGGTGTCAATGATTTTTTATCTTGTGATGAAACGAGCCTTTTTCGTATCAACATGTGTACTAAGAGATTGTTAAGAAGCGCGTGGTTATGCTTTATTACGATTATTACGACAACATCGAACGTTAACAACGTGGTTAACAACGTCCATTGTTATATTTCTAGACTTTCACTCAACTAAACAGGGTTTGCCATTGGTTAATTCTTGGTCACGTGGCCTTGACAAAAATCAAATGTATCCCGATTGTGATACATTTGAGCAATAGTTCTCCGCTCGGGATATATTACAGCACGTGATCAAAGCATGGTGGAAAGTGGCGTGACAGAAGGCGGGAAAAACACTGCTAGTTTTCACACAACAAGAGCCCACAACACAACCATGAAGCCTCAGGCTAAAAACAACGATTTTCGAAGTTACCCCTAAAGAGAAACAGCAGCTAGGGGAGGAAGGAGATGCAGATAATATAAGGAAAGTACTTGGAAAAACATTCATCCAGTGGTTTTGAGAATTAAATTTGTGTTCTTATAAGAACCGAGTGGACTGTTTTGATTCGCTTCGGTTATCAGTTATGCTTTTGTCGCTGTTGAAGTGACAGTCTAGCAATATAACAAAACACTTAATGTCAGGTCCCTCTGGAAACCAGTTAGTTTTGTTTTCCCTCGATTCCTGACTCAAAAAACAGGACTCTCGGGAAAATAAAAACTAACTGTTCCCCTCGGGATCTGACATTATGTGTATATTGTTATATAGCTGGAATTTTTTTTAACAGCGAGCACTCTCATTGGTTTACTTCGTGGTCAAGGACATCTAGCAATGAAACTGTTTCCCGCCAAAATCTCTCAGCAGGCAATATTGCAAAATCTATGAGGTCAGAGGGTAACAGTGGACTGTTACCCGCGAATGTTGACCGACGACCGCCATTCTGCCAGGTTTAATAAATTTCTAGCTTCAAAATTTTCATCTATATAACAGATCACTCGAATAATGTTGTGCGTCGTAATAAGCACCGATTCCAGAGTTTTGGCTTCAAAATAAAAGTTATTCCTTTACAAATGTCGTAACTCGGTTCTTGCATCTTGGGCATAAGTAGTAATTCCGAAACACCTGCCTAGAGCTGGTAATATAACGAGAAAATGAAAACATTTTTTATTATTATTTGTATGGTCATGCATTAATTTCGTTTTTAGTCTCACCAAGTAAAACCTTGACAGCAACCACCCGAGGCTCCGTCTTGCTGGATAACAGTTTCCGTTTTGAAATCTCTGTGCTAAACACCTCTATTCCAACTCTTTCCCAAAGCATTGCTTTGTAAACCACACCGAACGCTCCTCGCCCCAGCTCCCCGTCGTATTCTATTTGCTCGCGAAGAATTTCCCACCGGTCCAGGGGATTGATCGATCGCTGTGAAAGATATGATCTGCAAAAAAAAGGAAGACAATAAAACACTCTTTCTTTTGCAATCAGAAAATCTCGTACCCCGATTTCCCACGGCCAAGGGTTCAGCGTAAGACAGATTGAGATCTGGGTACGAGATTTAAATTTCGTGTTTTTCGCGATTGTAGAAAAATCGCGAAATTAAAGACCCGCGAATAAAAATCCTCCCGAAGTTTAAACACGCGAACTAAAATCCCAGAAATAAATTATTAACTTGTAGTAACACCAACATATGCAGCAGGATATGTATCGACGCATACCCAATTTGTTAACTGGTTTTACAGGTAAGTTCCATAAAACGCAACATAAAACGTTACGTTAATTTGTAAAGATTTCACATATGCCGGTAGGGAACTTAACTATCATCTTGATCTGAGATTCGAATAAATCTATTATCTGTAAATCTTTAATACTTCACCTATTATATTATATAGTAGAGAACTGGTGAATCGCGAAATTTAATGCCCTTTTCTCATAGTTGCGTATTGAAATCGCGAAAGTAAAACCCCGCGAAATACTGTCTCGCCAAAATCTCGAATCCAAGTACCCTCGAAATTAAGTACCAATAAGGTACTACATTATGTAAATTTTAGCATGTTTTATCAGGAGCCCATAATCCGGAGAGAGCAACTTCCATACTAGGCCTATGTCACGGCGTTTCAACGGACCAGTTTATTTTAAGGCACATTTTAGGGCACTTTTTCCCGCGAAAAAAAAAAAAACTCCACCATATCTATGAGCGCATTCGAAGTATAAGATATCAAAAAGGAAAACTAAATGTATTAAAAGGCAGAATTTATCATTTTCAGGTCTGTAGGTTTTGCTGACTGGTTTTGTGAAATTTAAAAGATATCCAACATTCGTGCCAAAACCGTTCTAAAAATAAACTGGTCCGTGAAAACGCCGTCACACAAGCGCATGGAAGTTGCTCGCTCCGGGTTATGGGCTCCTGTTTTAGACGGTAAGAACGAAGAACTTTACAAACCCATAAACCTCCTTTTTTCGTCTTCTCCGGTAGCACCAGATGAAAATAGCAGCACCCAACAGCAGCACAGCGAGGGCAGCACCAACAGATATGTAAATCACCGTGATACTCCTGGGTTTGGTAACTGTAGAATTTTGGGATCAATTTAGGTTTTTGGGAAACTGCCCACCTTCCCCTCCCCTAAGCCAACATTTTGCCCTAAGTGAGAAGTGAGTGATATGGCTTAGGGGAGGGGTAGGTGGGCAGATTCCCAGAAACCCAGATTGATCCGAATTTTGCAATGAAATAGAAAACAAAAGATTGAAATATCTGATCAGAAAGGAATAGTTAAAGGAGCTGTGTCACTAGATTAATCAAAATTCAAACAGTGGGAACCATCACCAGACTTGGTAAAACATAAAATAAACCGCCCAAAACATCTGAAAAAACATGAAAAATTGTCGATATGGATAACACTGCAAATACAAAAGGAGAAACGGATTGGCAAACTTGAATAAGACTGAAACGGCTTTACAATTGTAAGCCGCTAACAGTTCTTCAAAGTTGATTTTTGTTTTTAGTAACGTTTGATATGATGCTTAGAGATATATTTCTTTGACAAGACGCTGTAATTTTAATTAAGTTGTAAACTAGGTGTACTACCATTTGTCAATGGCAAGTATACGAAAGGGCTATCGTTTCTGTCAAAAATGGCATATTAAAGGGTGAGGGGTTGGACCCTGGGACCGAGCCTCCCTGTATAAAACTTTGGTGAGCACTCCCCCCCCCCCCCGGGGCGAGCAGGCCTTTTTTCCCTTTTGATTTCCGTTATGCAATCCAATCCACTGCACGACCGGAAGAGCNACTGTTACTAATCCCAGTAATAGTCCCAGAAGTCTTTGCAAAACTTAACTCGGCCCACGTCCCTTCTCGATTCTAAAGCGGCGAATGACAAACGCAAATTATTTTTGAAAAAACGTCATTGGCATACTAAAGAATATAGTATTTCTCTTTTACCAACCTTTATTGCATAAACTTCCTTCACAGCAGTGTATTACGTTTCCATCCTCCGCGATTTTATTGCAATATTGTGGTTGAATGCATCCATATTTATTGTAAATAAAGGGATCTTGTTGCTCTCCAAAGAAATAACACTTCCCATCGTTGAAAATGCACTGACCTACTGCGCATTCTTCAAACTTTACAGGATCTGTACATTCGTAGCACCGCGGACCTGAGTCTAAAATAGCGACGAAATGCATTTTTTATAAAGGGTCACTGTCTAACTGAGATGAAGAAAAAGTGAATTTTCGGAGAGTTTTTTTTTTTTTTCGCCTTAGCCTCGTCAAAGAATTGCGAGGAAAGTAACCGCATAAGGTTGCGTTCCTTCGGGATTTTCCGGATCAGGATCGGTGACCCGAGATCACCCCGATCATAGTGCACCAAAGCGACCGATGAATCCTTGTCCAAAGTGGATTCATTGGTTTCACTGATGCATCATTACGAGTTACTTAGATCAATCATCTGGATAATGGTCCCAAAGTATTCCATCCCAAGTCTTCTCCCCCCACTTCCTGCTTCTATACATTTTTTTCTTTTCCCACAACCTCCTCCACCACATTTCCATTGTTTTCCCTTCACCACCACCGTCACCACTACCACTACATTCTACATTCTAATAATTAAGAAAAAATGCATTTCGTGGTTGAAATAGCTAGTTTACTTTCGCCCTCAATAATCTGCACTATTTTCGTGACAAAAATCGGTGAACCAGAGCAGGAACAATTCGTTTTCCTCAATGGATAATGAAAGCGACAGGAAATGAATTTGTATAATTACGTTACGACTCAGTGATCTTAGAGAGCTTAAGATTTGAGGACGAGATGGAGTACGAGTACGGGATTTAACTTAAAGTTTTTGTGCGTCAAAATGAAAAAATCAAAATGAAGCTTTCTGGGGTCTCTTTTTTTCACTAATATATAGATTTAGCCAGGGCTAAAAGGGCAGCTCCCATTCTTAAATTTATAGTTTAAATCAAACAATAAACTTGTAATCCACAAATCAGTTAACTTAAGGGCACATATGTGACTTTTTAGGGAAAGCTAGGGTTAAGTGATTTTAGAGTGAAAAAAAATCTTACGTCGAATTGATAGCCGTACATATACACCCAAAAATAGCAATCATCTTCCATCACATTTAAGAGCCGTAATGGCTCTTGATCACAGTAGGATTACGCCTGGAAAACGAATTCTTGGAACACAACTCAGGCCGAATTTTTCGCGTTCGACAATTTTACTCAACAAAAATCTTGCCAACAACTCTGGGAGGCTGTAAACCAACATTTCATACTTTTTATACATCACATCTGAGGTGAAACAAAAATATGAGGCGCTGTTTTTATCATACTGACCTCAGACAAAATGCAGTATTTCACAATTTTTCAAGACAAATTGCATTCATTCAATATTCAGAACCGTACGAAGCACGCGTGGGCTTTTAGCAAAACCGTTCAAAAAATTTTCAAAATCACAAGCGCCAAATTTTCAGTGAATATTAAAAGAGTTACGCTTCAACATAATAAATAATTTATTGTGTTAATTTTTTATTTATTTAATGGTTTTATAACGATGTGTAATCTTAAAAAGCGTTTGATACGCGCGGCATTTTGAGTACTCCTGCAAGCGTTGTTTATGAACGACTGAAAACAAACGGCAAAGCGATTAAAATTGCAAGAGACTACTAACAATCAATAAAAGAAATGTAATTCGGTGAAACATTTACAGAGACAACAATTTTCATTCACGGAGATAAGTATTAAAGCGTCTCTAAAAATCCTGAGTCTAAGGTGGCTCGGTACAGTTTTTCAGGGTCAATACCTGCCAAGTTTGAACATAAACTACGTCGCCATAAACAAAGTTTTGGAAAAATGGTTGTATGAGATAAAGATGAATTGAATTGTCAAAGAAGACTGTTGATAGCAGCTGTATTTCATTTTAAGCATCCAGTGGAAAAAGACAGTAAAAAACATCACAAGTTGACAAAATACTCTGTCAGCTTCAGCTGTCAAAGCAAACAAGGTTCAAGATGCTGTATAAATTTTCTGCATAAAGTCACCTGTCAAATTTTGACCAATCAGAGCATAAAAATTGGACGGTCGTAGAGCGTGATCAACACGTGACTATGGTGAGAAAAGTGAAAAGTCTTTGTCTTCCCTGCTTGTAGTTTTAAAATGACTTTTAAATGAATTTTCGCGTCCGAATATCAGTTTGAAATCAAAATGTTAATAGCGCGGGGCCATAGTGACATTAACACAACACTTTCTGTCATCATGTCATTACTTTGCTGCCGTTCTCTTTGCCTTTGTATTTCTCTTTCGCGTTGCCTTTGTCTGTTCATTCTAGCTCTGGCGTTTTTCACTATAATTTTCTCTCCTTCTTCTCGCTCTGACTCTTTCTACTTGCCGACTTTCTTCGCTAAAATTTTGTCTTCTTATTCTACTTCTAACGCGCTCTGTTTGGCGATCGTCTTCGCTTGCTCTACGCGTGTTAACTCTTGCTCTCTGCCCTTCACCTTCTCTTTGCTCTCTGCTTAAAACCTGTCGTCCACACGCTAAAATCTCTCTGCTGTTGTTTGTTGACATAACAGCTTTCGTAAGTTGTAATAAAAAGTTATAAAAGCTCTGTCGAAAAATCTTTTTGCTAAGTTGCTTTGAAATTTCTTTTTTCAAAACCACTTGCGCGATATAATTGCGCGACGTTGCGCCATGCGATTTCCCCTACCCCAATAGTCCATGTGGCCTACTTTCCACCACCCGGAAAGTCCGTACGGACGGACGTACGCAAACGTCATAACCCAAATTTCTCTCTAGTTTACCAAATTATCTTAGTTATGGTGCTCCGCTCGCGCGCGCTTCGCACGCGCAAGGAGCTCCGCTAAAAAAGTTAGTACGTTTGTTTATACTGAAGAAGATTAAGCACTCTCCCGATGGCAAAACTGATAAAACCTCTTATATTTGATTACTTTTTCCCGCCACTACGACATTCTTGCTAAAACTCGTAGTAGAATGAAGAAAGCTATCACGTTTTCCCGCCAAAATGACGCTGGTTCACGCGTGGGCAATACCCAGAAGGTCTCTATTAAGTCACAAGCCAGTTAGCGCTTACTCCTTCGATAACATGAATAAACCAATGAATACTTTTCTTAGGTTTTAGTTACCCAATCAAAAACCAGGCATTCTTTGACCTAAGAATAATCTAAAAACCTGTCAAACCAGTTAATCCACCCTAAGGCATCCATGTTATCTTAAAGAGATTACCACGCATTTAACTCATGATATAAAGACAAAAGTCTAAGCTGTTATTAGCGTAAATGTATTCCCCGCAGCTTAATGAGATTTCTCCCGCAAAATGGAAGCCTTAAACATCCCTACTACACTACTTACGGCTAGGCAGCCTCTTTTTAAACAAGACTCAAACTGTGAAAACCTCGTTCAAGGGTCTTCTCGTTTTCTAATATGCCACCGCCATTTTGAAAACGAGAAGTCCCTGGCAGCGAGATTGAAAAGTATGCTATTCTGTAGAATAAAAAATAATTTCTTCTTACTTGTATTACACTTGTCGCCGTTGCAGCAATCTACAATCTTTCCACTGGTAACATTACACAGATCTTTGGTAAGACATCCCTTGCGATAAGTCGTTTGTATTTTGCCCTCTCTTGTTGTCGATTCATACTTAATTTTTGCGCAGTAGTGTAAAGGTGTGGGGCAATGTACGTCGACTTGTTTTTTTTGGCATTCATGAAGAGATGAACTGTTTTCACATTGATGGCAGGATATTGCTGAAAAGGAGAAAAACAATAATTTCGAACAATTAGACCTAGAAATTTGCGCCGAAATCACTAACCCTAGTCACTTTTACTGACAAATATATTATGCTTTTTCCCTTTAAGAAAGGATAACATTCGGGAACTTTTTATTTTCATTTTAACAACTTTTTTAAATGTCGCAGATCATTGATAAATATCATGATAAAATAAATAAATACTGATAACTATATAGTGAAAATCAGTGTAATATTTCCCTGGTGGTCAATTAAAAAATTTCAATCGTTTTGGTATCTATCTGTTGATTTTGATTCAATTTAGTCCTGCTTTGAAACTTTTCTAAACATGATGAAAGTCATCAAGATGATGACTTGGCCATTAATCAGAGAGATGACGTAACCTATATGTCATATTACATCATCACGTCTCTTAACTTCTCTAATCCTAGACATTTTTTTTTATTTGATATATACACTACTGATTTGCCAAAAAAAATTTTAAAATCTTCCATCACTGTACTTAACAAATAAAGAAGCTTTGATTGTGCTTTGTTCTGTAGTAAAGCACTCAGAAAGCGGAAAGAGCACAAAAGATGTGTAGAGGGAACGCGAGACGTAAAACAAACTATATTGGCGCGCCACGTTATATTGCCGTTGCTACGGGCAACATTCACATGAAAACGAGTCAAGAACAGAAATAAGACGCGAACCATTTATACGAGCTGTTCCTTTTTCCCGCCACTACGACCTTCTTGCTAAAACTCGTAGTAGAATGTCGAAAGCTATCGAGTTTCCTGCCGAAATGACTCTGGTTCACGCGTGAGCAATACTCAGAAGATCTCTATCAAGTCACAGGCCAGTTAGCGCTTACTCCTTCGATAACATGAATAAACCAATCAGCGTGCAAAGAAAGTCGAGTCCGACAGCCCGGGGCTAGTGGATTTTGCGATCGGGCTAGTGAATTCTGTGCTTAACTTGCCCGACGGGGAAGTGAAGATTTTTCGGAGAAGTAAAATTACAGACGTAAATGTATTCCACCGCAACTTAAAAATTGTCGATATAGATAACACAGGAAATACAAAAGGCGAAACGGATGGGAAAACATGAATAAGACTGAAACGGCTTTACAATTGTAAACCGCTAACAGTTCTTCAAAGTTGATTTTTGTTTTTTGTAACGTTTGACGTGACGCTTAGAGATATATTTGTTTGACAAGACTCTGTAATTTTAAGTAACTTGTAAACTAAGTATGTCAAAGGGGTACTTCCATTTGTCAATGGAAAGTATACGAAAAGGCTATCGTTTCTCCCAAAAATCGAATATAAAAGGTAAGGGGTTAGACCTCACGACGGAGCCTCCCCGTATATATATTAGGTGAGTACTCCTCCCCCCCCCCCCCCCCCCCCCCCCATCGGAATCAGCAAGCCTTTTGCCCGTTATGCATATCGTTGTCTAACCCACTGTAAGTACATCTTAGCAATAGTGCAATTTCAGGGCGGAAAAACGTTCTGCGCAAGCTTCTGCGCATCCCTTATCGCAGGCTCAAGGCGGGAATTTTCTGTGTGTTGACTGTGCTGACTGTGCTTGTTTGTTGCTGGAGTTCTGAGTGAAAAAATGCACGAGGTGCGAACGTTTGCTCCCTGTAAAGCATTTTTATTTGACATGTTCGTGGTTTTTTCGTCGCTTGAAAATTACTTTGGATTCAGAACAACCAATGTTAAAGGAAAAAGGGATCATTCCGTCAGTCTGAGGTGGAATAAAAGGTTTTGAACATTTCTAAAGAGGCGAGTATTTTTTCTGATTATGCATCCGATTAATTTATGAGTTGATTTCGCCTGGTTGAATCAAAACCCGCTTGTATTCTGTTATTAGTAGTTACTGTTATTTTTTTTACATGCCCGGATTTATTACCTTTGCAGAACCAGCTTTATCTTTGTCTTCAGTCAAAGAACCATATTGCTGTTATAACGCATCAGAGTGAACAAACTTGTACGCTTTTTCGAAAATAGAAGGCCAGCAAGCTTACTCAAGATCATTTTTCTGCTGCTCAAGTAATAATAGTCAGAGTTTTTTTCCTTCTTCATTACATAGTTTTGTTTTCCAGTGCACTGTGAAAGTTTCTGTTTTTTATAAGAATTACTTTCTGTACGCAAATTGTCCTTTTCACTCGCTGTGAAGTAGAGAACGACAATTGCTGGCAGTGACTTCAAAACATTGGACCCTTTCCCGTAGCTGGATTTGACTGAGGCGAGTAAAACAAACCCTTATCTGCAATTTTACGTACTTTCTAATGATCGGCTGAGTTTAATTTGCTTAAACGAAGACCCTTGCATGGACCAGTTAAGCTTATTGAAAATAGCTAAATGGTGAATCATGGCTTGGCTGCCAAGTTGCAACTGATCTTTTGCTTTTAAGATCTCTAGGTAAGTTGTTTTCGTACAGAAAATTCATTTCTTCATTGTTAGCAAGAAGTTTTTTAAATAATGTAACTTTAACTTTGTTTGAACGAAATCCCACTTACGCATAGCTTTTGGACAGATGTTATGCATGTTCAACTTGACAACACAAAGCAAAATTTATATATCTGCGCGAAACGAGCAAGTGTAAAGAACTATATAGTTGTCAAGTTTAAAGAACTATACAGTTGTCAGCAAGAAGTTTTTGAAATAATGTAACTTTAACTTTGTTTGAACGAAATCCTACTTACACGTAGGTTTCTGACAGATGTTTAATATGAGTGTTCTACTTGACAACACAAAGCAAAATTTATATATCTGCGCGAAACGAGCAAGTTTCAAGAACTATATAGTTGCTTTGAAACCGATTTTTGGGAAGATTTTACTAGATTAAGATTGACCTTATTTCTACCCACACATCAACGCAATAACTTCTACATTGAGGATTTTGTTTATATTTTAGTGATCTACGAGACTACGAGTGTCAGATCGAGCGAGGGTTTTAAAATATAAGTTCGAGTGCGACAAAGTTCAGTGACTTCAAACACATTGTGGGCAAGCGTTAATTTTTTTGGGCAAATCACTGTCCAAAGATGTGTTGTTTTTGTGTCCACAGTGGAGCTCTGGACCTTATATATCCAGGAACTTCCTTATATGAAAACATTTTGTGAATGCATCTTGAAAAAAATCGGACCTACGCATGCTCATTTCCAGTACAACGCGAGGAATTAATGTCGTTAAAGTCCGTTTTACTATGAGGTATTCTTCGGGAAAATTAAGTAACAACAAGGTTATAACCACAGCTTGCAACTTTTGAAGACAAATGGCCAGTTCTTTCCAGGTTAGAGTGGAAACCTTTTATTTTTAGGCAATAAAATATTTGAAATCCCGCCATTTTTTCAAACCCGGTCAGGGGATCTGGGCAAAAAAGTTCACGCATGCTCATCACGTTTTTCCGCCCTGAATAGTGCAATTCACTACTTTTGAAACGAGAAGGGAACTGGGCCGAGCTAACTTCCGCAAAGGCTTCTGGGATTGTTACTGTTACTAATCCCAGTAACAGTTCCAGAAGTCTTTGTAAAACTTAACTCGGCCCAGTTCCCTTCTCGATTCTAAAGCGGCGAATAACAAACGCAAATTATTTTTGAAAACACGTCATTGGCATACTAAAGAATATAGCATTTCTCTTTTACTAACCTTTATTGCATAAACTTCCTTCACAGCAGTGTATTACGTTTCCATCCTCCGCGATTTTATTGCAATATTGTGGTTGAATGCATCCATATTTATTGTAAGTAAAGGGATCTTGTTGCTTTCCAGAGTAATAACACTTTCCATCGTTGAAAATGCACGGACCTTCTACGCATTGTTCAAACGTTACAGGATCTGCACATTCGTAGCACAGCGGACCTGAGTCTAAAATAGCGACGAAAAACATTTTTTTAAAAGGATCACTGTCTAACTGAGATGAAGAAAAAGTGGATTTTTCGGCGAATTGTTTTTTTTTTTTGGCCTTAGCCTAGTGCAAGAATTGCGAGGAAGGTAACCGCATAAGGTTGCGTTCCTTCGGGATTTTCCGGATCAGGATCGGTAGGATCGGTGACCCGAGATCACCCCGATCATAGTGCATCAAAACAACCGATGAATCCTTGTCCAAAGTGGATTCATTGGTTCCGCTGATGCGTCATTACGAGTTACTTAGATCAATCATTTGGATAATGGTCCCAAAGGATTCCATCCCAAGTCTTCTCCCCCCACTTCCTACTTCCCTACAATTCATTCATTTCGCGCCTCGTCAATTTTTTCTTTTCCCATAACCTCCTCCACCACATTTCCATTGTTTTCCCTCCACCACCACCGTCACCGCTACCACTACATTCTGCATTCTAATAATTAAGAAAAAATGCGTTTCGTGGTAGAAAGAGTTTGTTCACCTTCGCCCTCAATAATCTGCACTATTTTCGTGACAAGAATCGGTGAACCAGAGCTGGAACAATTCGTTTTCCTCAATGGACAATGAAAGCGACAGGAAATGAACTTGTATAATTACGTTACCACTCAGTGATTTTAGAGAGCGTTAGATTTGAGGACGGAAACGAGTACGAGTACGAGATTTAACTTAACGATTTTGTGCGTCAAAATGAAAAAGTCAAAATGAAGCTTTCCGGGGTGTCTTTTTTTCAATAAAAGAGTTAGTACGGTTATTTATACTGAAGGAGGTTAAGCACTCTCCCGACGTTAAAATGATAAAACTTGTTACATTTGATTGCTTTTTCTCGCCACTACGACATTCTTGCTAAAACTCGTAGTAGAATAACGACAGCTATCACGTTTTCGCGCCAAAATGGCACCGGTTCACGCGTGAGCAATACTCAGAAGATCTCTATTAAGTCACAGGCCAGTTAGCGCTTACTCCTTCGACAACATGAATAAACCAATTTAGTAAAATCCAACTAGTGATCGATTATCAATGCTGCCTTCTGATTGGTTGAGCTACTACTAGGCTATATGTTATAGCCCACTTATAGCAAAAAGCGCCCGATTTTTGGCTGCAAAAAAGGATTAAAGTCTTGCTTTAAGTTGTTTTGTCT